ATTTAAGATGCTGCACATGAAAGGACTTTGCCAGAGTGCAAGCAGGGAGGTCTGCAGGGCACAATGCCATAAGATGGCTTCCTAGCCCTGCTTCTGACACCTGGAACCAGGACACCTACCTCCAGTCTGTAGGGTGCTGAGGGCCCTCTAATTCTTGAGTTAGAAGTGAATCCCCACCCACAGTTTTGGAGGTTGTTGGGACATTTCTAGCCACACTAGAGCTGGGAAGACCTATTTGTGTCTGTCATTCAGCCATAGTCTTCACTGAGGCTGGCTCATGGCCAGATCTTGCCCTTGGCCCTGCCCTTAAGGAGCTCTCAGGCCATCAGGGAAGTGCAGTAGAAATCAACCACGATGAAATGAGGGTGCGAAGGAGGCCCAAGCAGCATGATCTGGCTGATCCCAATGGGGTGGGGGCACTTAGGAATGGCTTCCCAGAGGTGACATGTAAAGAAGGACTTAAGGATGAAGAGGCCCAAGTTGAGCGTTCCTGGCAGAGGGCTCAGCATATGCAAAGGCATGGAAGCCATTCCTGACCCTCTGCTCTCCCCAGGTGTGGTTACCCACATGCCTGTCTTTGCCCCACCCATCACCCACTCATAGGACGTATCGACCCTTTGCCCCACCAGACTGTGTGGTCCCTGAGGGCCAGGCCTGTGTCTGATAGCTCTACGCCCAGTACCCCTCAGAGCTAAGCACAGAGGATGTGATCAGAGAATGTGGTGCGTGCCTAACTGGCATGTCTGACGGCTAGTGAGCGTAATAACTTCGTATAGCATACATTATACGAAGTTATCGCCCTTCCTTGAGCATTGGGCCCTGGTGTTCGGACTTGATTCCATGCAGCCTGGGCAGCCAGGGATGCGTTTTGATCAGGGAGTGGTATACCCAGAACCCTGACTGGCAGCCAGAGTGGGGGTAGGTCTGGGAGGCCCTCCATAACTGGGTGGCCTCCTCCTCATTGAGGGGCTCCCTCAGGTGGTACATGGAAAAAAGCATCAGGTTGCAGAAGGCACAGGCAGAGCAGATGTGGAAACAGAAGGGGAAGAGGCTGCTGTGGAAGAAGGCCAGCGGCTGCTGAGGTAAGCTGCTGTCCATCACGAAGCCTGCGTGCGGGGAATGGTGGGTGCAGTGTCAACAGCTAACAGCAGCTGGTGGGCCCAGGGCCCATCTACATCCAAGGTCTGTGAATGCTAACACTCCAAGGCAGTTGGAACAATAGTTAACAGCACAGACTCTGGGCCAGGGTGCCAGGGTTCAAAGCCCAATTCTGCTATTTAATAGCTGCATGACTCTGGGCAAGTTTCTTAACCTCCTTGTGTGTCAGTTTTCTTGTCTATAAGTAGGCTTAATAATAATAATATCTACACAGACTATTGTTTTGAAGACTAAGTGGCTAGCCACTAGCATAGTAGGTGCTCAGTAAGCACTAGTTGTTATGGGCACCAGGCATTCTATGGGACAAGCCTTTGCCGAGGATGATTCTCCCCTGACTTGATCCCCAGGTGAGTAACTGCGATGGCTCTATGGCCTCATGCAGGATGGGACTCTCCATGAGTGGAATTGTCACTCAGGAGTCACCTCCCCAAATCCTGGATTCCAGAGGCATAGCCAGACTGCGAAGGATCCTGCCTGTTTTTAGTCCTGGATAGAAAGCAGGCCTAGGACCTGCTGATAGGGCCAGTGTCCAGGGACTGCCTAGGCTCAGTGAGTCCCTGCCCTCAGCCCACCTTCATTTTTCCATCTAAAAATGGGGACAATGTACTAGAAAGAACCGTGTGTATCCCTGTAAGGGCTTATCATTCTTTTTAAACAGCATATGGCATGAGCCCTCACTAGCAAAGTAGTGCTTTAGCCTACAGGCAACATGGTTCTTGATACCCAGCAGATACTAGTTTGGATTCTTGCCCCTCTACATAAAGGTTGTGTGTAAGTCACATAACCACTTGACCCCCAATTTGGTCATCTGTAAATTGGGGCAAAAATACTGCCAAATAGGGGGGTTGAGGAGTGCTGTGACGCCTCTAAGAGTTGTGGTATGTTCAGTGCCTGAGCTTGATGCCCGGCATGCAGAAAGTAGGTGCTCAACAACCCTAGGAACCCAGCCAAAATCATTCCCTGTCTCAGGGAAGTCCCTTCCCTGAGACACACCTGAAATAAATGTCACCCAGATCTGCATGCCCCAGAAGGTGGCAAGGAAGATCAGATGTAGGGTCTCGATGAGGGCCAAGGGCTCCCTGTCTGTGGGCCTGGTGCCTGCCACCCACAGTCTCTCTCCATAGGTCTGAGCCAACTCCTGCTGCTTTAAGGGCACAGAGTAAGGCCCAGAGCTGAATCCTCAACCAATGCGGGGAGGGGCTGCCTCTGCCACCTGAGGGCAGCCCACCCCCACACCTTGGCTCTGCCCAACCCCTGGACTCTCCAGGCTTCCTCCTCCCCACCATCCATACCAGCCTGATTAGAGCTCCCCTAACACACAGATTGCTTCCTAGTTCCATGCCTCTGCTCTAGTTCCCTCTACTGGGAATGTCCCTCCCCTGCCTGGTCCACCTGCCCCAAACCTACCTGTCTTAGGAGAATTTCAAAGGGTACCTCCACTGTGAAGTTTTCCCTGCCTGCCAGTAAGGCTGGCCCCTCCCTGACCGCATGCACACACCCTCACCCTCACCCTC